ATGTCGAGCAACTGGCGCTTACGCATACGTAGCTTTCTGTTCACGCCAAAATGTAATCTTCGTTTTGTAGTAAGTTCTTTCACAATATGGCCAAGGTTACAGAGAACGTTGAGTTCGTGGACGACCCCCAGCAAGCGCTTAGAGAAAGTTTAGCTGTGTTTCCGGTTAGCTAATTAAAATCTGAACAAAAACTTATCGAGAACATCGTGGGAAGGAGAGATGTTTTCAGACATTTACCGAAGGGGTTTGAAAAGAGCTTAATCTTTCAGCTGCTGCCCAGAGTGTTCAAATTCTTGAGCTCGAAAGGCAACGGATTATCTTCAAGTCCCCTGGTCATTACCATTTCACCTCTTTTATCGATTGTTGAAGACCAAGTCAAATACCTTTGATCATTGGGAATCGATGTTGCCTTCATTGGGGAAAACAAAACCAAAGACCAAGAAATATTGGATGGAAAGGGCGAAAGGGCGAAAGGGCGGGTTTGCTTTATTGTAAATGTCAGCTTAGTACAGGGTAATCTACCCACATCTGATAAACAAAAGTTTTCACGCTTAGCTTTTCCTTTTTTTTTCAAGCGAAGATTAGATTAGATTTTGGCGCGCACAGAAAGCTACTTAATTATAAGCGCCAGTTGCTCGACATACCTGCGTGGCCCATGCGACGAAATAACTTCACGGGATTAGCAAAGTTTCAGTTACAGCAAATTATACAAAAAGTTTAGAAAGATTTAAGCTTACATCTCGTCCAACGTTTAAAGCGACATATCAACGCCTGCAACCATTATGTTTTATACGAACCTCGCAAAATTTTAAACACGTTCTCTTGGGATATCTGCGAAAGTATTCAGTATAATATCTGGTAAGATTTTCGCGGACAATCTGATCGATTTCCCTTACATTTGGTACAATGAATATATGAAGTTCATATATTTTGAACTGCGGTTTTAAATACGTATGATGCACGATCCTTCGCAGTAGATAGCGCTATTTATGCAATAGCGAAAATCAGACCTGAAAAAAATCAGGCCTGTACGGGATTCGAACCACTGACCTTTGCGATACTAGTGCAGCGTTCTATGATCTACCAATTGAGCTGACAAGCCATCTGGGAGCAGGCCGTTAAGTTGATTCGTAAAATAATTTTCGTAATCAGATACAACGATATCGCAGAGGTCAGTGGTTCGAATCCCGTACAGGCCTGATTTTTTCAGGTCTGATTTTCGCTACTGCATAAATAGCGCTATCTACTGCGAAGGATCGTGCATCATACGTATTTAAAACCGCAGTTCAAAATATATGAACTTCATATATTCATTGTACCAAATGTAAGGGAAATCGATCAGATTGTCCGCGAAAATCTTACCAGATATTATACTGAATACTTTCGCAGATATCCCAAGAGAACGTGTTTAAAATTTTGCGAGGTTCGTATAAAACATAATGGTTGCAGGCGTTGATATGTCGCTTTAAACGTTGGACGAGATGTAAGCTTAAATCTTTCTAAACTTTTTGTATAATTTGCTGTAACTGAAACTTTGCTAATCCCGTGAAGTTATTTCGTCGCATGGGCCACGCAGGTATGTCGAGCAACTGGCGCTTATAATTAAGTAGCTTTCTGTGCGCGCCAAAATCTAATCTAATCTTCGCTTGAAAAAAAAAGGAAAAGCTAAGCGTGAAAACTTTTGTTTATCAGATGTGGGTAGATTACCCTGTACTAAGCTGACATTTACAATAAAGCAAACCCGCCCTTTCGCCCTTTCGCCCTTTCCATCCAATATTTCTTGGTCTTTGGTTTTGTTTTCCCCAATGAAGGCAACATCGATTCCCAATGATCAAAGTTATTTGACTTGGTCTTCAACAATCGATAAAAGAGGTGAAATGGATGACCAGGGGACTTGAAGATAATCCGTTGCCTTTCGAGCTCAAGAATTTGAACACTCTGGGCAGCAGCTGAAAGATTAAGCTCTTTTCAAACCCCTTCGGTAAATGTCTGAAAACATCTCTCCTTCCCACGATGTTCTCGATAAGTTTTTGTTCAGATTTTAATTAGCTAACCGGAAACACAGCTAAACTTTCTCTAAGCGCTTGCTGGGGGTCGTCCACGAACTCAACGTTCTCTGCAACCTTGGCCATATTGTGAAAGAACTTACTACAAAACGAAGATTACATTTTGGCGTGAACAGAAAGCTACGTATGCGTAAGCGCCAGTTGCTCGACATACCTGCGTGGCCCGTGCGACGAAATAACTTCACAGGATTGGCAAAGTCTCAGTCACAGCAAATTATACAAGAAATCTAGAAAGATTTAAGCTTACATCTCGTTTAACGTTTAAGGCGACATACCAACGCCTGCAACAATCGTGTTTTATACGAACCTCGCAGACTTGTAAACACGTTCACTTGCGATACCTGCGAAAGTATTCAGTATAATTTCCGGTGAGATTTTTATGGACAATCTGATCGATTTCTCCTACATTGTGTGCTAAGACTGAAACTTTTCACCTCAAGCAAAGCTCCGGCGTACAGCCCAAACAAACATGGCGAGCAACCGAGCTTCTTGTATATGTCATGTCCGTGTTAAAACACTCGAAAGGACTCTAAAGCATACTTCACTCTGATTGGGCAGAAAAACACAAAGATTTTCTGGCACCAATCAGATGCCAGAACGACTGCGAACGTTTGCAACTAGTCTTGTAAGACAATGTCTCTCTTCTGCCCTAACTTGAAATCGACTCACAGCCCCTGGGTCTCCGAGGATGAGGTCTTCCCTGGGAAGACTTCCTTATATAGCGCGCCTTCGTTTTTAAATAAAAAGCGGAACCAGAAACGCTTTTACATCTTATTTTGTGTGCAAAACAGAAAGACTTTGACATCATGTGACAAAAACTCAGTCAAGCATAAAATGATGCGATTTAGAGCAAAAAATGGTGCGATTCGTGATATAAATCGCGCCAATTAGAGCCAATCAGATTACAGGGACCACCAGTGATTTCAAAATGGATGAAATAAAGTAAATAATTAACAACTATTCACCGAAGTGGAAGTGGTTAGTGGTGGATATGCGAAGCGGCAAAGTAAATATCCACCGCTAACCACCGACATTGAGGTAAATAGTTGTTTTAGTATATACTAAAACAGTGACATAATATTTGTTACATTAGCTGAGCTTACGCAATGGTCTAGCGCATGCGCAGTAAAGGGACTAAGCACATGTTTGGGACACAAAGTTTATATTCCTTGATCTAAGATAACTAAATAAAATTACCAAAAGCAGCAAATACTTTTACATGGTGTCAGGAGCGGGATTGGAAAAGAAAGGATTTTCACTGTTGATGTGGACAACAATTTAGCTCAGGTGACTGGCGTGAGTCTTAAAAGCTTGAGCGAACGAGTGAAACAAACAACATGGCGACTGCGTCCTTCATCGACAAAGGCTCGTCAATTGACTGGAGTACAGACGAAAACCTATAAGGCCGGTTCAAAATGTGGAAACAAAGATGCGAATTGCTATTCACCGGGCCTATGGCTAAAATTGACGAGGAAATCAAGTGTAAACATTTGTTGTACTGGTCGGGAGAGCAAGGTATCGAACTGTTCAACAGCTGAGATCTGTCTGCAGACGAGCAAAAAAAGCTGGACAACTACTGGGAAAGATTTGAGCACTTCGTGAAACCACACTCGAATGAGTTAATAGCAGCGTGGGAGCTTTATAACCTTAGACAAGGTACTCTCTCTCTCTTGAGGAATTTATTGCGAAACTAAGAATTCTTGTGAAGGAAGCCAACTATCCAGCCGAACACAACGATCGTTTCCTTAGAGATTTTCTTGTGCTGGGTATGAAATCTGACCGTATACGTAAGGACTGTTTCAAGGTTGGAAATGCTCTCACGTTTAACACAGCTCGCGAGATGGCCAAGTCAGAAGAGTCAGCAGAAAATCAGCTTCAGTTAATGAATACCGAAGTACACTCCATCCATGCACCTAAAGGATACCAAGGCCTCAATAATCAGCGACAAAACACTAGTTCAGGTAAATCCCAGGCTTGCAGGAATTGCGGCTGGGGTCCTCATTCCAGAGATCAGTGCCCAGCGAAGAA